ACATCTCTTCAAAGAAATTGTTTCATTTTACCAACTACATCCCAGCAATACTTTTGATCTAAGAAAAAAAATGGGTTTTATTCACTGGTTTTGCCTGTAAGCATCTCTGTGGATTTGACAAATGCAACCACTGTGATTTTATGCTGAATTAGTTACCAACCAATGAAAACCCCAATCATCAAAATGTTATTTATGCAAGTTAGAAGCTAATCAGATTCAAATGTAACAACAGATGTTGTACGGAAAAGCAGACTGAGCTAGCATGTTCACATTTGGCTTCTTACAGGCTAACAACTATGCACATATTATTAAAATACAATAGTTATTTTCCAAAACAAAAACAATTTCCTCAAGCTAAAGGAACATTGCCTCTATGTGTCTCTTTTAATAATTTCAGGAAATTACAAGTAAGCCTCAAAAGCAAAATGATCACATTTCCTAACAATTGGATTTCACTTGAATGGGTTTTGGTCAGTTTGCAAATTTCTACACATAAAATGTAGGATTGCCTTCTCACAACTGCCATTTATTTCGCAGACCACTAACAATCCTTTATTATCCTTTTTTATCTGTAGCTTTATTGTCCTAAAGATGAGTGTCTCATTACCTTTGCTATGCTATTCAAGCCTGAATGTTCAACTCTACTCATTAGAACAAACATCTGCTACAAACATTATTAATGAGATATGTATCTAGGGACTGGAGAAAGCCACTAACCACCTGGGCTAATTATACTTTTTATTATAAAAGCCAATAGCAGCTGCAAGTAGAGAACCCACCTCTCCTTCCTACGATAATTATCTTATTTGTATAATTTCAGTTTTGATAACCTAGTTCTTCCAAAGTGGTTATGTTTCTAAAACTATAGCTCCCTTAACCATTCCTAACACATATTATATACCATATCAAGTCCAAAAAATAATTTCTGCTTTAGAAAAAAAATAATTTGCCTTTCAGATATCTTTCTCATGAATATATTAAAGTAAAATATTTGAGAGACTGCAGCAGCTTAATAAAAAGTAACTTCAATAGAAGTTTTTATAAGATTCATTTCATGCAACATTTACAGTCAAAGTTTTAGAAACCAAATTGCACAGGCTTGAAAGTGTATCTGAAGATCTTTTCTCCCAAACTCAAAGGCAGAGAAAAAGGGTGCACAGATTAATTAATATAAATAGAAAAGAACATTAAAGAATTATTGCTTACATTTGCAAGGACAAAACATTGGGCAATTGGAAGACTGCACTTTAATGGATTCTAGAAAACTGGGGGTGGACGGAATCTCCTGGTTATATTTATCTTGATTGCCATTTCAGAGTGTATGAAAGCAGAACATTACATATTTGGAACAGTCAGTTGCTGGATCACCCTTAATTAGAACATATCATACATGTTTGGGCAACTTAATTCAATTTTAAAAGTCCAGAAAAATGCAATACAGAAACAATCATTCATAAAGTTTATGCTATCATGTAGGTTATTTGGATTAAAAGCATTCTTGGTATAATATGGACCAGCCAAAGTTACCAAAGATCAATGAACTGTATAGTTCTTTTCTTCAGGTTGCATGTTCTGTTAAAGTTTAGTATTTCACAAAATACAAAATGTCATTTCAGAATAGTTTTTTTTCCTTATGACCCAGATTTTATTTATTTGACTGGATCACATGTATTGAGGGAGAGTGGTCATAAATAAATAAATTGTGCAAACTTACACTAGTCCTATCAAAAATGTTTGGTCTCTGTCTAACTCTGTTTTAGATTACAGAAGTTGCATTATTCAAAAGAGATACAATCCTAATTGCAAAATGCATTTATTCAGAGATCAATGATATTTGTAGTGGGGAAACTCTTGTGTCTCTCTGATGTGTATAGATTGACATTTATGACTACCACTGAAAATGTTTCCTCTAAAATGATTCATGAGGAAAAGGGAACAGAAGTTCTAGACTATGTGATTTATCAGATTTTGTGCTAGCATAATAATACATTACTGACCTATTTTTAAAAAGTTTTCAAAGATATTTAAAAGTGCAGTCAAGAAAAAAGAGGGAAAAATAGAAAACAGATTTACAAGCTATATAAAATTGAATAAGGATTTTCAAAGTAACATATTAGTACTGCACATAAAGGTGATCTTATATCAATTTAGTAGTTTAAAACCATTGTCAAAATCAAATTAGTAATCACTAATTAGTAAATGGGATCAATACAATAAAAATCATCAATCAGAATAAACAATTAACAGGAGTTTCTATCTAATTTGAGAAAGCCTGTCTTTGTTACAATGAATCAGGTAAAATCTAATATTTTAAAGCTTTTGTTAAGAGAAACACAAACCCTGGATGTGGTACAAGTCTATGTGCAGAATTATAGTCCATAAATGGCTTCCATGTTAAATAAAATTCAGTATCAGACTTGTTTTTTAAATACAACCGGACAATGTAAATGGGTTCTCCGTGCCCTTACTATGGCCAAAAAACTGATATTGCAACATTGGAAAGATAAATGTATGGCTCCATTTATTCAATGGACTGAAGACCTGATTGTACTTGCTACTTATTAGCAGATTGCCTATAGACATAGAGTTTGTAGGGACAAGCCTAATGAAATATGGGACTCATTTATACAAAATGCACTGGGTTAAAAAAAAAAAAAGGATAGTCATATATCTCTATTAGAAATATATATGTACTTGAATAATATTTGTACTAGATAAGTATATATAGAATTGTAACTTGTACTATTATAATGATATTTTAACTTTTGTTGTATTTTTTCACTTTGATATTAAAGAACTTTTATGTATTTTTTACCTTTTTTGTAATTTAAAAAAATTAATAAAAATTAATTTAAAAGACTTGTTTTTTAAATACAGTTATTGTTGACATTGATGCTTCCTCCCAACATTAATTATATGTAAGTTCTACTAATAAAGTATCCTATTGGTCGTTATTACAAATGTGCAAATGAACCAACTCCACAGCCAATTCAGAATATTTGGGCATGTGAAATGCCAGTATGTGTTATTGAATTATTTGTTTGGAGTGATCCAAACTAACTGGGAAAAACATACAATTTGTATCTATTATTTACTTTTAGTAAATTTGCAAGCCGCCTGACTCCAAAATGACCCTGGGCAGCTTACACTTAAATAGGAAAAAGAAATAAAGAATCTAAGTATCTGCAAAGACTAAGTAACAACCAATCATTCAGGGTTCCACAAGTACCCTATCCCAGGGCCCGGGAAAACAGACAGGCTTTTAACAGCTTGCAGAATATCATCAAGGTAGGAGCTAAATGAACCTCTAGGGGATATTATTCCAGAGGAGAGGTGCCACAACAGAGAAAGCATCCTTCCTGGGTCCCAATAGAAGGCACTGCTTAATCAAGGGGACCTCGATTACACATTTTATATATTTAAGCATCAGTTTGCTTGGTGATTTTATAATTTTTAATATACAGTCAACAGTTTCAAAAGATTCCAAATGACAATCCCAAATGTTGCTTCACCTTCAGTTTTTCCTTCTCTATACTCATCTTGGAAAATACAGCATACAAAGACTTCTGCTCCTACTCTAACAACAGATTTTCATTTTTCAGATGACTATCCCTAATTTGTAGAAGACAGATTCATGTCAAATTATGCTAACTTGGAAACTAAACTAGCAACTGATCAATTTGTTAAAACATTTACAGCTATCAATATGATATTAGGAGAGGTACTAATATCAGCAGCCAAGATAAAACAGACTATTGTTCTCAAATTATGAGTGGTCCCTCAGACTGCCCCAATAATTACCTTTGTACCAAGATATTAAATGTAGAAGCAAACTGGAAAAATTGTATGGCTGTAACTGTATCAAAAATTTCCAACACAGAATCAATTTAAAATATCAGAATCTTAACAATCTCAGAATTGGGGGAAAATATAGAAAGGAGTTTAGCACATTTACCAAATGAAAATGATGAACCTACATCTCAAAAGAGCAGATTCAGGCAAGCTGCATACATAAAGCAACATTACTTACTCTATAGTTTCATCAAAATCAGAGATTTCAATGCAGAATACAAGACTTCTGCTTAAAGAACATTATTATACAGGGTATACCAAAAGTAAGATCTCTTAGGTAATTTATTATACAAATTACATTAAATGTTTGAATTGGTTCCCATTTTCTTCTAAATGCTTCCTTACTCGTTTGATGTACCTTTGAACATTCCTAATTTCAGTGACATTTTCTCTAAAAAAATATTCATTAATAAAATTAATAAAACATATTGTGATTGGTCTATGGGGCCTGACTTTTGGTATACCCTGTCTATTGCGAAAACTGGTACAAGTAAAATATTCAACATTTGTCAATATATATTATGTTATTGAAGTTGGACATAATCTTCTATATATTGTCCTGACTACAGCTGCTTATTTTCTTAACAGGTTAGCATTCACATACTTCTGCCCTTAATTTCAGTTAATCTAAGGCAGTAGCTAAGTACCCACCTGCACGTTGGCCAAAACAATCAGAACCCACCTTATCTTATGTTGTTCTTCCCCAATCACATTAGTCCATAAGGCTAATTGTGTGTTACAGTATTTAATATCCCGTTAGTATATAAATAATTCATTAGTATGTATGAAAGCAAAATTATCCCAAGGTTTTAATATAATTTGTATATAAAAACCATTGTACACATATTTTATTTGTAGACAAACCTTAATAAATACCATAGTGTTTTTATAATTAAAAAACCCCTCCATCATAGGACAAAGCACACAAATTGAAACAAAAGATTAAAAGTGTTGGTGTAACACATAAGAAGCAAGCTAAAAATATTCAGACTGAAGATTTTGCAACCATAGTATAAACTAATTTATTAAGCTATAAGGCTATATGGCAGTAAAACTGTACCTAATGGATTAAAAAAAAATCTAATGTATCAGAACTACTGAAATTGCTCCTTTGATTTGGCTATCATTTACAAAGGACTTCAACTTACCGAGTTCCATCTGCTTTCCAACTTACTTTATATGGCTTCTGCTCTAACAATTTAATATTCTGTTCATCCATCGAAACAGGTTGTGCCCCAGGGAATCCAGTCCTAATGAGAGGGGGTGAAAGATAATAGTTAATAGTACCCAGTACCAACCATTTCTAATCAGTCTTTCACAAATAGCAGTCCCTCCCTTCCTTCCTTCCTTCCTTCCTTCCTTCCTTCCTTCCTTCCTTCCTTCCTTCCTTCCTTCCTTCCTTCCTTCCTTCCTTCTATGAGTTTGAATGTAGGAATATTTTCAATAAGGTGGCATAAGCAATCTTCTTTGTACCCCATTTAATGTAATGCTGGACCTTCAGATGATTTCTAAATTAAAGTAGCTTTTGTTATAAAAGAACATTATTTAGAACACTGCATACTATTTAACTGCATGCCCCTTTATGATCAGTTTAGTACTGCAATTATAAAATTAAAGTCTTGAGCTAGATGTTGATAGCTTAAGATTAAGGATTGACAAGAAAGAGCTAAAAATGATATTAGACATTGTCAGATAACTGTCACACACCCGTGTAGAAAGATACATTGACAATTCCTCTAATAAGCCTGAACCTTTTCTCTATTTTTCAGAAGAATTACTTTTTCAGATTATTTAATGGAAGAAATAAATGTGTTAGAAACAATTACATTTTTGAGAGCGCTTCTGGCATTTATGCTTTACATATAGCTAAAAGCGAACTGGATGTTGCGGTTGTTTTTTTTATTTTAATTTAGATAGGGTTGGGCTGCTATAGAGTTCAAAGATTTAACAGCAACAGTTTGACTGTATATAGCCTAACTCAAAAGATACTGCAGCCTTTGAAGAGGCATACACACCAATAAAGAAAGCAAAATGTTATAAAATTAAAATAAGATGAAATTTAAGAAATAACATTACCTATATAATGTATCTCACAAATATTTCCAGAAAACTTTGTGGGGAAGTACAGTGTTTATTGGCAGTGGGAAAGTGACTAATAGGATGTATGAAGGACTCAGCTAATTCAAATACTGAAAGCCAAAAAATATATCCGATAGTCATATAGCCTACATAATTATTATTTAGCTAGTACTTTTTATAATTTGAAGGCTGTAATTCTAAACTCATTTGCTCACTGAAATTAATGTGGATTCTTTTGAATAAAAAAAATTGACTCAAAATCACTGCAAAATTCTCAGAATTGATTTCAATGGACTAAATTATAGATTTATCAATGCAATTTTAAATATACAATTTTAATGCTGTACAGGTTTGTGAAAATGTTGTCCCTACAGCAATATTTTTTTATACCAGCATCACCACAACTGAATCAATCACTTCATAAGAAATCCATATGATCTTATCTGAAGACGCTTCTTATTTTGATATTTCACTTGTGCTGGTTCTTAAAAATACCTAGTAAAAGTGATGTAAGATACAGGTCCTCATTTACAGATCAGGTCTAAGCAACTCCCAAAATCCTTAGATATTGCCCATGTTGACGAAGGGATTTATGGGAGTTAAAGTCCAGAACATCACGAGGGCACCACTTTGTTTAGCTTAGTTACAGAATATTCAAACTACATTTTAAAAATAACATTCACGTACCCTTTCCAGCCACAAAATTGTTGGCATTTAAGTTGGATTTCTCCTAGCTTTGGTTGAGTTGTCACTTGAATTACACGTTTAACTGATATTCCTTCCAAAAACACTGCACCCTAAAATGTAACAAAGAACATAACAATTTTAGAATACTATCAGCAACACTCAGAATGATTTCAAATTTATCAAGATTTCAACATTTAGTGAACTTAGTTTTAAGCTTAGAATTGATTGATTGAATCGATTATGTGCCATCAAATCAGTATCGACTCTTAGCGACCACATAGATTTTCTCCATGAGCCCCTAACCTGAACTTTCAGATCTTCCAATGGTGCACCCATCACCACTATAACTGAGCCCATCCACCTTGCAAATTTAGAATAAGAGAAAGAAATTAACAAACATTATAAATGTTTGCCATCTCTTCACTTCTAATGCAGAAGAATGATTTAATCAAAACCTAATCTTCTACCCAATCACAATGCATAGTTAATCTAAAGAAGTCACTATCATAAGATGATCACTAAATATACCCATGGAGGAAAAAGACTGTAATAGCTACTAATCATTATGGCTCAACTGGACATCTAGGATCAGAAGTAACAATCTAAAGACACAGGGAAAGTTGCTTGCTTAAAGTAATAGAAAATTTCCTTCTGAGTAGGTTCCTAAATGCAGAAGAGAAAGAAAGAAAGACAGAGAATTGAAGAAAACGGTGAACCAAAAAGAACAGGAATAATAGGAATAAATAAATGGGAATCAGAGAAACTATGTGTTATTGATTAGAAGACAAGAAGCACATTTTAGAATCTCAAAATTAAGTCAGTTAGCCATGAGATTCTGGCAACCTGAGCTTCAGTGACAGAAATACTCAGTTCCATATCTGTCTAAATTGATTACCATCCTTACTAACCTCAGACAATGATTAAAAAATTAGAGTTGGGTAAATTATTCACCTGAAGCTTGAATTATCTACTATGAGCAATGTTTTAATTCAAATAACACTGACTAGAAGTTTCAAAAGTTACATATAGTATAATGTTAGCAAATATCATCTTTAACCCCTGAAATGTTTTATGTATATAAAACTACTGTACACAGTTGTTTATAGGGTATATGGATTATAATTATATTTATTTTGCTTTCTGATTTATTGTACACCACCAGAGCAACCATGTTCAAGATGATCAGCCATATACATTCATTCAATCAATCAATCAATCAATCAAATGGAGAAAAGATATTTTAGCTTCCATTTATTCAGCCATTTTACTTTCCAGCTCATATGGAACTTGTTGAGGAGGGCATAATTGGGATGAAAACTGTCACACATAAATCAGACATTAAAAAATGAAGCCACTAAGCATGGAATTTAATCAACAAGCACAGAGCCAGGCAAAATAAGAAACATTATAATTTAAGATGCAGTCAAATCATAAATGTGTCAAAACATTTAAAAGCCATAAGGGAGGGAAGCCATCTTATAATCTGAGACAGAATGTGTCATGACAAAGGTGGCTCTCTCCCATATTTACCATTCAGCATATTTATGTGCTTGTGCAAGTTATTTAAAACAGAGTTTCCCTTGCCAACCTCATGTGAAAGCAAGTGGTCCCTCAGATTAATCTGATACTATAATGTCTTTTGTTTAAAGGCAATAATACATTTTAATTGAACTCAGAAATTAATTAATGTAAGTACTGGATAAACTCTACCAATTATCACCTTTTGAGTAGTCAAATGATTTTCAAAAACAGCAACAAGTAGGCTGGGTTCACACAACATGCTAAGCCACAATTTATTTAACAAATTATGTGTTGATTCACAACTGATGGAGTCCTACTTTAAGTAATAAACCATGGCTAACAAACCACAACATACTAAATGAAAACCAAATAAACCATACAAGAGCCTGGCACTGCCTTGTAATTAAGTCTCCAGACCTTAGCAACCAGCAAAAGTGTTTAGTTGCATGCCCATTTATTTTCTCATTTATAGTATTGTTAGGTCACCTTTCATCAATTGTAATTGATCATTTTTCACTATCCAATATAACAATAATATAATTCACCAGTTCTACCAGAAGGTAATTCTACAGATGCTTGCAAGAACAAATGATGAAATAACAGCTTATGAACAGTTTATGTTGGCCTAGTTAATGATGAATGACAGGTGAGTTTAATGACTCTGTTTCGCCTAAGAACAGCAAGCTTTCAAGGGGATTTCCTTCTATTCTGGTCTCTAATGTACAGGACCAAGTCAGAATTCAAGTAAAGACATGAGCAGAAAACAGAAGACACATTGGCTGAGTTCACACATTTTGCTAAACTGAAACCAAATAATTTTAGCTTGGCTTAATTCAGTTAATTCTAGCAAGAAAGTCCCAGCTCAACCTTCTTCATAAAACATGATTAGGGCAAACAGATATATCACATGTTGCAGATTCCTTTTGAATACCCACTTGATGACAATTGTGGATTGATTTCTGTAGAAGAATGGAACAACTAATAAATCTTAGTACAGAAGAGGATGCAAAGCCATGTAACTGAAATCAGTGTCCCTAGCTAGAAATTCTTGCTTGAATTAACACTTCTTTCAGCATATATCGCTGGGGATGAAAAGAAGTCGATACCATGAAAGAATCTTAATGGAAAAATAATAGAAACAGAAAATAGGAAAAAAAACCAGTCTTAATAAAAAAGAAACTAGCAAGGAATGAAGTGAGTAGCCAAAACTATCTCTGGCCCACAGGTTTGGGCATACAGCATCAAGGCTGGGATTACATTTATGCTGCCTGGTCAACATAAGGGCAGCTCCATAGGAGTTAGAGGAACTTCATGCCACAGTCTGGTACAGGGGCTAATGCTGTTCTGCTGGCTGTGCTTTGTAGATGCCATGCAGGATGGAGGCATACACAGCTGGCACTGCAGCCAACTATCCAGAGGCAACAGATGAACATGTTAAGGAAGACTGCTCTGCCCCAGCTATGCATCTTCCAACCCAGGTTGCTCAAGTATAAAGCATGCAACATGCCACTGCTAAAATTGCACATTCCCAGCATCAGGGCTAGACGAAAGGGAACACCATGGAGGTGGAGCATAAGCATTTCCAAGAAGAGCCCTACAGGGAAGCAGAGATTGGAAATTCACTCTCTGGCTCTGATTTTCAATCCTAGGGAGATATGCATATGGAGTGCTGAATCAGGTTGGGGGGTTGTTGATGTGTGGAAGATAGTTCACATCAGGCTGGGCAGGGACGGAATACTGAGCAGCAAATGACCCTACCGTGGTACATCATATTTGGTAGGAGAATGGTCCTTTGGAGGCAAAAACTGGCAGGAGTGGCAAAACCTGAACTATTTATTTGTCACCCAGTTTCAATATTTAGCCACCAATCACAAAAGCAACCATTAATCATATGGCCAGTCTAGAATGCTTGCTTATTTATTCACTTATCAACTTTATACAAGTTTATTATTTTCACTTATCAAGTTTATACAAGTTTATTATTTTCTAGACCACCCAACTGTTCTGGGCAGCTTGACATACACAAGAACTATAAAGTTAACAATAAAGCCCAAGACATAGCATCACCCAGAGGGAACAACAATCAAATTCTATCTCCCACCAGAATAGACATAAAGTCCCACCCGATCACACAGAGAGGGCATGCTTCGGACCCCTTTGGTGAAAGAACTTCGACTGGCGGGGTCCAGAAGGCAGGCCTTCTCTGCGGTAGCCCCTGCTCTTTGGAACATTCTGCCCCTGGAGGCGCGATTGGTCCCCACACTCCTGGCCTTCCATAAGGCTTTGAAG